GAGTATATCAATTAGATTTAATTTACATTGTATGTTAATAGAATAAAATAAATCTCTGAGATTTTTTACAAAATCAATTTAATGAAATTACATTTGCAATAATTTCATTTAATTGATAATTAAAGTTAGCTCAATTTAACTCAAAAAAAAAATAAAGTGTACGAATATTCTATAAGTGAGTAAGAAAATACTCCCTCCGTCTTTAATAATTCTTCTCGTTTTGAAAAAAAATGAAAAAGACTAAACTAGGAATAAAGTATTGAAAATATATCAAAATATGAGTTACATGCTTCTATTTTCAAAATGAAAGTTACAATGCATATACAATGTCACACAATCACAATGTAAACTCTTATATTTGGGATAAAAACATGAAACTCCTATTTTGATATTTTTTCTATGTTTTACTCATATTTAAGAAGATTTCTTATCGAACAATGTACAAAATCTCATCTTCTTTGAAATAATTTTATACTCCAGTATACAAATTGGTATAGAAATAAAATATACTCCGCATAAATTATATTGTTCAAAACTACATCAAAAGTTCTACAAAAAAATATGACAAGTATCAAATGATTAATGAAAACATATCTACAAAATTAACTTATCGAAAGGGTTCAAATAGTAAATGAGGGATTCGTTTGGAATTAGTATTTTTGATTAGCGTTAGCATTTTGGATAAGATTTTAACGGTGCAGATTAACATGAAGTGAAATTTGCATTAAGTAGTAATAAAACAGGTCATTTCTCAATGTAGTACTTAAACTTTTTTATTCCCTAAATAATACTCCCTCCGGCCCAAAAAGAAGGTTACGTTCATTTTTTTGCGCATCTCATAAAATATTTATATATCGTCTCAAATGTCAAAAAACTTTTAAAACAACGTCTACCCACAATAAAGGGTAAATGTGGTAAATTTTAGTCATTTTATATGCGGGTAGAAGTGTTTTTTTGGATGCGTAAAAAAAGAAACGTAACCTTTTTTTGGGGACGGAGGGAGTACTTGGATAATGTCTAGTGGCAGGAACAATGTCCAGTGATGGTGGACATTTAGTTTGAACAATGTGTCGCCTCCTCACGTGCAGGCGTAGTCTTTTTTCAAGCTTTGCACGTGAAACTTAAATTTTCTTAAAACTGAGTGGCGCTGAGTTTCGAACCCGTGACCTCTTAGTCAACAAGGCTTTGATACCATGTCAAGGAACCAACTAAACCAAAAGCTCAAGCTTGTGGTTGTGGCCCAAAATGAGTTATTTATATTCTAGCACAATGTCCAGTAGCGGTGGAAATTTACTTAAACAACGACCAGTAAATAATGACATGTGGTACTACATTGAGAATTAAAAGTATGTGGTACTACATTCGAAAAGTCACTAAATTTTAGTATTGTTTAAGTAAATTTCTCCGACTTGAAAATGCTAATGATAAATGTTTCTCGTATATTGTGTTTTTAAAACGCAAACATCTAATACTACGCACAAACAGGTCCGAGAAGAATCATTTGTGAGGGAGGAAGTATTAAAATTAGGGATGATCGAGAGGTTTATTAATAGCGGATGATAGTGGGCCACATGGATTGTTGATGTTGAAGGGTGATTAGGGCATGTGCTTTTGTTATGTGTCCCCACAAGAACCATTAGAAACATACTTCGTCCAAAGTACTTTGTTACATAAACATATGTATTCCAACTTAAGCCTGATCAACTGGTGTGACAAGTAACATGAGAAATCATACTTAGTCCATTCCTACCAGCCAAATCGTCTAGGATTCGACAATATCTATTAACATTCAATGCCCAATAATATCCAAAAGAAAGAAAAGACTCTTATTTACTTCAGGGTTAACATGAAAAATGTTGAAATATAAAATGTTCATTTTATTTGGAAAAAATATACTCATAAATAGTGTACCGTAGTTTTTTCTAAAAGTACATGGTCACAAATTTGAGTTTATTTTTTATGTGGAGAAAAAAATGATGAAATTATAAATGGGTGAATCGAGTCACATACGGAGTATGTTCTATCTATACATCCCACAAAAAACTTCATACGTAGTATTTTTTTATTTTGAAAGCCCCAAATAAAATTGTTACTTTATGTATTTTTAAAGTAATGAACATGTAACTTACACTTCTTCGGTCCCCCTAGAATTTCATTTGTTTTTTCACGATCTTCAATGTTACATTTTAAATATCAATATTTTTATTTATAGAAAGATATATTATAAAAATAAAATATTTCAAATTTATATTTCAAAATAAATTTCTTAACATTAAATTAATATCACATTTCAAGGGATTTTTTCTGTAATTTGTAGTCAAAGTTAAAAAAAATTGATCTTGGAAGTCAAACTAGCCGAAAAGATTCAAAAGTGGAGAGTAAAGTAAATTTTTTCGTTAAATCTTAACTCTATATTTTTCATTTCTACAAGACCAAAAGAATATTGGCTACTAGAAATCTGTAGGTCAACGGAAGTTGTGCCAATATCTTAGCCTGCAGAGTGGTCAAAGTTGATTTGAAATAACAATAATAATGACAAATTAAGGATAATTATATGTTATGTGCTCCATGTGATGAAAGGTCAATAAATTAATGATGTTTATATGGTATACTCCAACATCCTCAAACATACCTTCAACTTATGTTCTAAGAGGCGCCGAGACCAGGCCACAACCCACGAGCCTTAATTAAGAGCCTAGACGAGTTTAAACATGTTTTCACTTTTTTAATACGAATTAGAATCTATAATGTAATGCTCTATTCGAAATATGAATAGCAGATTGGGAGAAAGACCAGAGTAGGACTAAAACATTGAAAATATATCAAAATAGAACTTCCATGTTTTTATTCTCGAAATAGGACTTACATAACCAAATATGGTCATATACATTACCAAAAAACTATAGTAATTTGCACATCTACACTGCCACTTTACCACAATGCAACGTCACATTACCACAGTGCAAAGTCCTATTCTGGGAAAAAAACATGAAAGTCCTATTTTGGTATTTTGCTCTATGTTTTAGTCCTATTTAGGGTGATTTCTATAGCAGATTTCGATCTATCTAAAAATAATTTTTATGTAACTAAAGAATACAAAGTAGCAAAATATTTAATTAATTAAAAAACAGTTTTTGAATAAAATAACGATGTACTACTCACTACTACCTCGTTCTGGAAATATTTGTCGGATTTTGACTTTTGCACTCAACTACATTGAGTGTTAAATTTGTAATTAAAAAAATTATACTCCGTATCATAAAGTCATTCATGTTTCAAAAAAATTACGTCCCTTAAAGTCATTCTTATTCTATTAAAAAATTATTTTTACCTCTTACTATTTCATACTCTTCCTATCACATCATATTTTTTTTCTAATAATTTACCTATCACATCCTACTTTTATCTATCACATCAAGGATATTTTTGGAAAGTCAACATAAAATTATCTCTCCTTATTTTACCACTTTAGTCAGGTCGTCTCTATCTTTATGGGACGGAAGGAGTATGATAAAGAGGCCAGACTAACACGATTCTTCCCTTTTTGGTATCAAACAAAAATATAAGCATTAGTACAGTCATTTTTCTACTTTTCATTTTAAAAAATTAAAAATTCAAGAGAGTCCTATAAATAAAAAAATTTTAACGTACTCTTTCAAGAAAAGCCGGCCATCAATGGCAAGAGAAGGCCTATTTTTTCTACTCTCTTCGTTCCATAAAACCCTTCCTCTTTTGTTTTTTTCTAATTCCTTAAAACACTTCCACTTTTTATTAAAAAACCACTTTTACCCCTATTTTTTCATATCCTACCTATCACATCATACTTTTTCACTAATAACCAAACTATCACATATTATATTTACCCATCACATCAGGGAAAAAATTGGAAAGTCAACCAAAATTATACTTTCCTTATTTTGGCCCAAAGTCAAAATAGGAATGGTTTTAAGGAACGGAGGAAGTAATATTTTTTTATTTTTTACTTTGGGTTGGTATTTTTTTAATTGGGTATTGTATTTCCTTCATCTCAATTTAAATCGTCTATTGTTATTTTTGTGACTAAAGTTATTTTTAATTCAATCAATTAATTTTGAAATTTGTATAGAATTAATTAAAAGATAAAATTTATATATTTAAAAACTACATAAAAAAATTTACAAAACAAGAGGTGAAAAGATGAAATCATTTACTAAAATGGATAACAAAAATGGGTAAAGAATGTGGTTAACACTTGAACCTGTGAATAGTTTTCCATGAACTCACTCAACAATCATATTTTCACTAAGCTTGAACATTGCTGCTAATTAATCATATTTTCTGTGAACACACTAAACAAATTGAGATCGATTGTCACTTTATTCATGATGAATTCAAACAGGGGTTCTTGATCCAAACGCTCCACTTCCCCTATACTAATCAACCTGTTTACTCCCTTCGTCTCTCATAGATCTTCCCATTAGCCATTTTTATTTGTCCACATAGATCTTCTTATTACCGTTTTTAACATTTAAAATACCATAGCTACCCACACTTTATTTATTACACCTTTCTCACCTTATTTAATACACCCCACTCATTTTCATTAAAGATATTTTGGTAAACTTTTATATTTTTTCAACTCTCCTTAAAAACTACAAAAAGTCAAAACGAGAAGATCTTAGGGGAACGGAGTGAGTATATCTTTACCAAGGCACTTGCCCTATCGCCATTTGCCCATATATTCTCCAAGCTAAGCTGGGCACCTTTAGTTTTCCTTAGCTTCCTTATTCTTATTCACTATTTTTGGTACCTCTATGATATGTTAAATGAAAATCGATTTCCATAAATAAATATATACGAGATGGTCTTTTTAATCACATACACATGCAAAACTCACTTTCAAAAATCGTATTCCATATCTAACAAAATATGCTGAATCAGTTCTCTCTATATATATCTAACAAAATCTATATGTCACCTACGCTCATGATAAATCCAATTAATCAAATAGGTTCGGATATGCCACTATATTTAAATTCAGTCCTATTAATTTATACGTACAAAGTGCAATAATTATATATAGATTTGTTTCAAAAAAATTATGTATAGATTTGTTTCAAAAAAAAAAGTTATGTATAGATTTAACGAGGTCCATTTGGATATGGGAGAAGCTACGCAGGTAGCTGCATGCATAATATATGTATGTGTGTGCGTGCCTCTGTGATCTCGACAAACCCTTGTTCCAAGCACCTGTCCGAATATCTCGGACCTATAGGTATACCCCGAGCTGATCGGTAATAATAATACTCGTATTACGTACTTAATTTGATGGCTTCTTTTTATTGGTTTGGTACGAGGGTACGATAAATAAGGCACATGGTTGCTGGCGCTTGTTTAGGGTCACGTGAACTATAAAATTTCATTCACCCCAGAATTTACAACGAAATTTCGGCTACCTATTCAATTCAATTTTTTGTTGCTTTATTACTGGTACAACTTTGTGAAGAGCTTGTAAATGTGTCAAGAAACCAACTCAACCAAAAGCTCAAGCTTGTGGTGGTGGCCCAGGAACATTTATTTATATTCTAACACGCCCCTTCACGTGCAGGCGTAGTCTTTTTCGAGCCTTGCACGTGAAGCCTTAATTTTTTTTAAACTGGGTGGCGCTGAGTTTCGAACATGTGAACTCTTAGTCAACAAGGCTCCGATGTCATGTCAAGAAACCAACTCAACCAAAAGCTCAAGCTTGTGGTTGTGGCCCATGAATATTTATTTATATTCTAACAAAATGTTAATTGAAAAATATTATTAGGAATAATAGATGTATTAGGAAATAAAATATTATTTTTTATTACCTTCTTTATTACATTATTTCCTTTTTGTATTATTTACTATAACTCTTCTCTTACTTATACTAGAATTCTTTCTTGTAATCACTATATATATGGATGTATCCTTCATTATTTAATAAGACTAATTATTATCGAATTCTATCAAATATGTTGAGTTATAATATTATTTTAATGTTATTAGTCTCAATTTTTTAAAGTTTAAATATGTATGAACGGAATAGTTTTTTTATACTAAATTATTTTTTAAAGTAAATTGAGTTTAAGTAACTACGGATTAGATCGAGTATAACCTAACATCGCAAATCACAATTAAAAATTATAATTGAGACCGAGAGAGAATATCTAAGTGGTAACCAATTGAACTAGTTTTGTTGGAGTATATTTTGAAATTAATTTAATAGTTTGTAGAAGCCTGCTTACTTGCATTGGCCCATTGGCCTGTTCATGTTTGTATTATACTCCCTCCGTCTAATAATAAAGTTCTCATTCACTATTCACAGAGTTAAACTGTATTTACTTTGTTGGCCTATTCTCGTATCTTATTTGATAAAATAATACAGTCATATCACTTCTAGTTTTGTAGATCTTTTCATGTAGTTTTTAAATATGTAATTTTTATATTTTAATTCTACACCATTTTTCATGTTAAATCATTAAAAATATCTCCAGTCAAACATCGTAAAGCGCAATAAAAACTTTATTTATGGACGGAGGGAGTATATATCCAATGCTTATGGAATGAAATAATCAAAACATTATTTCTCAAAATTCTACATGGTATCAAAGCATTTTGTGGGATCATCCCAAAAATCCTAGACTTGTCTCTCAAAATTCAACGTGTTAAGTGAACTTTTATTTAAGGAAAATTCCTTACGTAGTCCTAAGGTTCATGCTCATCTTAGAAAGCTTAGTACATTGATACGCCGTATCATAAAAGATTGAGACTTTTACAAAAAAAAAAAGAAAAGATCACTTATTAGCCCATAAAATGTGAAACAATGTTCACATTTCACATGTGGACCTAACGACCACATAAGAACAATTCTTTATTTAAAGGGTTATTCTTCTCTAGTCCTAAGACTCACACATGAAATGTGGACCTTCTCACATATTTTCTTGGCAGACTAGTGGATCTTTTTTTATAAAAGGCTCAATCGTTTATGATAATATCAATGCACTGAAGTTCATAAAATGAGCATGGATCTTAAGATTATGTAAAAATAAAAATTCTTATTTTAAATACTCTTTCTATGCCGAATTAATGTATACTACCTCCATCCCAGAGTATTTGTCCACTTTCATTTTTACATACCATCCAATACATTTCTTTAATCCAATTTATCTTGTAATTTGTATATTAAAAAATTATAGAAATTATATGTTAATAATCTATATGTTAAAACAAATCAAACAAGATCGCACATGACTATATTTAGGCTTACACATTGAGAGAATTTGATGAGTCAAAATGCTTAGATGAACAGTTCCAAAAGTTAAAACTGGACGAATACTCCGGGACGGAGGGAGTAGTTCACATTGAAAAAAATAGTTCCGTTTTTGGAAAGAAAGTTGCGACTTAAAGAGCCCCAGTGATCTGATATGGGCGGGCCGTACAAAAAAAGGAGAGCCCAATAAAAAGGGCCACATCTGCAATATGGCGTGCGCTCAGAGCCCAGGTGGCGGATGTGGAGCCCATACCCATGCGTGAAGCACCACCCCTTTCTGACTCATGTTTTCTCTGGCCAACCAAGTTAATGGGCCATTTGTAAGGATCTGCAGGCCCATTACCCGTCCCTCTCTCATTTAATTCAATCCAGCAAATGAGGCCTCGCTTTTCTCATTTACTCGGCCATCACAAGAACTGACTGACTCGTACAGTAAATGGGCCCAATTATTTGGGGCCTATCACTTTTTGGAATTATTTCAATACCCCTTTACATTTAAAAAAGTAATAGCTGGAGGGTTAGTTGTGAAATGATGTTTCTATTTTATTTTATATATATTTTTTGTTGTAAAGTGATTTTTTAGCCGGAGCCCAACTTCCTCTCACGCCGTAATTCGCCGTTTTTTTCCTCAAGCCCAATTGTCATAGGGCCCATCAAACATCTTTACTAATATTCTTAGTGTTGATATTGATACACACCAATTCCTCTCACTTTCCTCCTCATATCCTCCTCACCTCCTGCATTAATTTCATTTATATTTGAAATATATGTTGAGAATCTTTCTCAAATTAAGTTAGAATCTCACTTATAGGATATAAATATATTTCAACTAGATGAAATCTTTTTTTAAAAAATAGATGATACTCAGGAAGACGAATATATTAGGTGATAGGTCGGAAGAATGGGTGTGAACATTTTTCTTACAAGTCTATTGATCGATTCAACCATCAAATTCTTTTAAAGTCCAAAATGTCTATATACTCCTATATGTGTCTTTTACTAGTATTTTTTATTGTCCCATATTGAATTATTTAGACTTCTAAATTTTACATTACTCAGATTCTAAAAAAATTATTTTCCTATATGCTTTTTACATCGTCTCTAATATCTAACTCTTCAATTTTGTTGACTCTTTAAATAAAATAAAAGAAAAAAGCCGAAAGTAGGAGNTGAACATTTTTCTTACAAGTCTATTGATCGATTCAACCATCAAATTCTTTTAAAGTCCAAAATGTCTATATACTCCTATATGTGTCTTTTACTAGTATTTTTTATTGTCCCATATTGAATTATTTAGACTTCTAAATTTTACATTACTCAGATTCTAAAAAAATTATTTTCCTATATGCTTTTTACATCGTCTCTAATATCTAACTCTTCAATTTTGTTGACTCTTTAAATAAAATAAAAGAAAAAAGCCGAAAGTAGGAGTAAAACATTGAAAATATACTAAAATATGACTTCCATGTTTTTATTCCCGAAATAGGATTTAAAATGCATTTACATTACCAAACGTGGTCATGTGCATAACCAAAAACTATAGTAATGTGCACGTGTACAGTGCCACATTATCTCCACATTACCACAGTGCGAACTCTTATTTCGGAAATAAAAATATAGAAGTACTATTTTGGTATTTTTTTATGTTTTAGTCTTATTTAGGGTGATTTCTAATAAAGTGAATTACATTTTACATTTACTTAAACTTAGTGATATTTTCTCTGTCAAAAATCTAAAATGTACTTTGATTTGTATCCTTTAATTATAAAATTCATATTTAAACTTTAACTTATTGAATTTGTTAATAGGTTAATGCATTCTTCCACACAAGAATTTGTTAGAAATTTGTGTTCACAATATGGAAAAACTACTAAAATATGACTTAAACATACTCTATATTTTAAAATAACATTTTTAATATTTTTATGACAAAATACTATATAGAATTTAAATTTTCAAAGTGTGTCAATATAAATATAAAAAAGTACCGAAATATGCCAACATACAATGCCAAATTGAGACATTGCACATAGCGCACCATTCTATTTAGGTTTTGTTTTTTTTGTTAGAAAATTTAACTTCCAATTTTATTTAACTTTTTTGAGTTTTCTTCAAAATTCTTTTAATTTTTTCCAACAACTTAAAAAATGTATTTACATATGATGATTATACAATAACATATTATATATACAGATTTATAAAATAACACCTCAAACATGGACAATGATTTTTTTAAATCCAAAACTAGGTTTTCTTACATATTGATATGTAACCTTTTATTATTTTCAATATTTTTCAACTTTTACCCGTTTTTTCCTAACTCAGACTAGTTTTTTTCTAATTTGTTCCAGTTTTTCAAACTTCTTCCAATTTGTGCTAATATCAAACTTTAGAATTTCAACTGAAAAGAACAGAACTTTATGGGGTAAAAACATTATTGCCCTACATGTAGGTAGTTTCTTTAACAATTTTAGGATTTATAATAATTTGTTAACAATTTTACTATCCTTTTTTGGTAATGTATATGATCATGTATGGTAATGTAAGTCCTATTTCGGGAATAAAAACATGGAAGTCATATTTTTGTATATTTTCTATAGAATTAAATTGGATAAAATTAAAATCTCCTATTTCAATTCATATTTTGGACTATCAATTACAAATTTACATATTTTTGTGTGATCGAATAAAAAAATTAGAATTAAAGTCTTCAACTTCAATTCTATGACTTAAATTACGTACGTCAAACGAAGCCTAATGGAATTCCGGAATCGGCCCCATGTATTTTATTTTCAATACTTGTTGATTTAAAAATAGGCTCCGCTAAAGGCCAATAAGATGTTAGGCCCAAAAGATATGAGTATGAACGGATGAGCCAGGCAGGCTTCAGAGACCCATTGAATATAGACAGAAAATTGATCAAAGAGTGTCACAGTTTAAATAAAAAAGTCAAAACAGAGAAAAAAAATTTAGACTGAAGGGAGTATTAAATATGGAAGCCCATTAGCTTAAGACTAGGCTATACTAGGCCGACAAGATTTCATACCAAAATATTATGTTCCCGTTTTCTATATCTTAAATTAAATGGCACATTAGATTATAAGGAGTCAAAACAAAGCAAATAAAGCATTTTAATTATTAGGTGTTAATATTTATATAAATATAATAAAACTAATTTCATGAAAACATATACTTTGTGATAAACAACTACAAAATGTATTTATAGGTGAAAAACATATTTTATTTATTATTCTAAATAGAAATGAAGATAAAATATAAAATTGGGAAAACATAAAAAGGAAGATCTTTCCCATATTTAAATTTACTCAAAGATTTCTCACCAAACTCTCAATTTCATATTTCTCATATCAAAAATTATGTGACATATTAGGTGTTAAAAAAATCCGCATACCTGTCAACCTCATGGACACCTTAGTCTCATTTTTATATATAAAAAAGAAAAGGATGAAGAATTCTTTATTTGTCCTAAAATTTTTATGTTGATTATATACTAATATTGGCTAATCCAAACATATTCTGTTTGTATGAGAATAATGTTCAACATAAATTTATTATTATCAAAAAAATCCTTAATTTTTTTAAAAATTTGCTTTAAGTTTAAATTATAATAAAGAGATTTATTGTAAATTAACTAATCAACTATATATATTTGTGTTTAACTATTTATTCTTTCTAAAAATCAATGTCAAACGCGAAAATAATTTTTTTATTTGAAAACAATGTGAGAAACTTTAGACAAATTTCGTCAATATTGGATAAAATTGTTGTAATAAATAGAACAAAATGCATATTATTAAAGGCGATATGCTTTAAAATTACTCCGTATTTTAAAGGGGTAGTGCATATTGTGTTTGGATGTTACTTTAGGGGGGTGTATTCAATTTAGATTTTAAAAGATTATAAGTGAATCTTTAGAATCAATGGATTATGTGAAGTCTTTGGATTATTTTAATTCAACACAGAATTTGATAGATTCCAATGTATTTCATAAACAGGATTTTAAAAGATTTTGTCAAATTGTTTGAAAATTAAAATCCACAGGTTAGTCAAGCATCAAAATTAATTGAACATACCAAAAAAACGTGCAATCTAATAATTGTAATCTATTAGAAAAAAAAAATATGATCTTATTATTCATTGGCAAATTCTTACATGATTCTAAGATTTATTCTCATTTTATTGACCTTAGTACATTAATATCATAAATGAATTTGATTTTTTTACAAATAAAAAAAAAAAGATCTGCTGGGCATCTCATAAAAATGTGATAATGCCCACATTTCACATATTGACCTTAGGGCTACAAAATAATACAGTAAATTTGATGACATAAAAAACCATATAAGTAATGTCACATGTCAGCTACCATCTCTCAACTTATTAGAATTTGGAATCTGAAATTTATACATCAAGGATTACTCGATATTTTTTCTATTTGAAATACAATGTAAAAAAAAAGTGTATGTGAAAGTAGAAATGTAACTTTACTTGGAGTGGAATTTTTCAAGTGGATATCATGTGGTTGTAGCAGTTAATTAAAATTTTAAACCCGGAGAGGAAGCTTATGTTACATGGCCGCCCCACGGCGGCGCTCGGGAATTAGATGGCCCAAGTGTGGTGGAGCCTGCAACAATTCCGCCACATTCTGAAAACATGCATAGCCCAGAGGGACCTTTTGATCGGCAAGTCCCTCCACACAGTATACCTCAAATCCCACCTTATCCCGCCCTCTACCTACATCTCCAACCACTTCATCCTCCTCTACTCCAAATGCGGCCGCCTCTCCTCCGCCCGCAGGGCATTCGACTCCACCCCTTCGCCCAATGTCTTCTCTTACAACGCCATCATCGCTGCCTACGCCAAAGAAGCCCAGCCACACGTCGCCCACCAACTGTTTGATCAAATTCCCCAACCGGACCTTGTCTCCTACAACACCCTGATTTCTGCCTATGCAGACCGTGGAGACACCGTGCCTGCTCTTGAACTGTTTCTTGGTATGAGGAGGAGGGGCCTGGATATTGACTCATTTACGTTGTCAGGGGTGATCACGGCTTCTTGTGATGATAAAAAGTTGATTGCCCAGTTTCATACTCTGGCTGTTTCCGGCGGGTTTGATGCGTTTGTTTCTGTGAATAACACGCTTCTTACTTGTTATAGTAAAAACGGGCATTTGGATGAGGCCGAGAGAGTTTTTGAAGCAATGGGTGAGATCAAAGACGAGGTGTCCTGGAACTCCATGATCGTTGCTTATGGACAACACAGGGTGGGATCAAAAGCGCTGTCTTTGTATCAAGAAATGGTGCGGTTGGAGTTAAAGGAAGACATGTTTACATTAGCCAGTGTCTTAACTGCGTTTACTAACATGGAGGACTTTCGTGGTGGCCTTCAGTTTCATGCTCGCCTGATCAAGGTTGGTTTTCACCTGAATCCCCACGTTGGTAGTAGCTTGGTTGATCTGTACTCGAAATGCAGCAGTTGTGGCATGCCGGATTGCAAGAAAGTGTTTCAAGAAATTCCAAATCCTGACTTAGTCCTCTGGAACACCATGATGTCTGGTTGTTCCTTGTTTGACGACTTCTCTGAAGAGGCCATTGCTTACTTTAGGCAAATGCAGAGGGTGGGTCATCGACCCGATGATTGCAGTTTTGTTTGTGTGATCAGTGCATGTTGTAATCTTTCTCTGCAAGGGAAACAGATTCACTCTCTGGCCATCAAATCATACATCCCAGCAAACCGAAGAATCATGGTTAGCAATGCTCTTATCACTATGTATTCTAAGTGTGGAAATCTACCAGATGCCGTGAAAGTATTTGATAGGATGCCAGAGCACAACAGCGTGACCCTTAATTCCATGATTGCAGGCTATGCTCAACACGGGCGTGCCATGGAATCCCTTATGCTCTTCCAAACGATGCTCGAGGAGAACAGTAACGCGGGCCCCACAAGCATAACGTTTGTCTCGGTCCTGTCTGCGTGTGCACACACTGGCAAAGTAGAGGAAGGCAAGAAGTATTTCAGTATGATGACCAAGGAATTCGGGATCAAACCAGAGGCAGCACACTACTCATGCATGATTGACCTCTTAGGAAGAACCGGAAAACTAGAAGAGGCCGAGAGGCTGATTGAGAGCATGCCATACAGCCCAGGCACAATCGGCTGGGGAACACTGCTTAGAGCTTGTAGAACACATGGTAACACAGAGCTAGCACTAAAAGCAGCCAAAGAGTGCCTTGAGTTGGACCCCACAAACTCAGCTCCGTACGTCATGCTTGCAAACACACTCGGCCACTCTGGAAGATGGGAGGAAGTAGCAGCCATTAGGAAAGAAATGCGCGACAAGGGGGTTAAGAAGAAACCGGGTTGTAGTTGGATAGAGGTGGACAAAAGGATACACGTATTCGTAGCAGAAGATCATTCGCATCCAATGATAAAGGAGATATATCTGTTCTGGGAAGAAATGTCAGAGAAGATGAAGAAAGCAGGGTACGTGGTGGACGTGAGGTGGGCCCTCCTTAGGGATGACGGGATTCGCGACGAAGTGAAGGAGAGACACCTAAGGCATCACAGTGAGAAGTTGGCGGTCGCTTTTGGGCTATTATCAACCAAAGAAGGGATGCCTATACTTGTCCTTAAGAACTTGAGGATATGCGGCGACTGCCACAACGCAATCAAATTCATTTCTGTCATAACGGATCGAGAGATCACCGTGAGAGACTGCCACAGGTTTCACTGTTTTAAGGATGGCCTTTGTTCTTGTGGGGATTTTTGGTGATACATTCTACTATTGACTTTTATCAGTACTGTCAAGTCTACCAACATGTTTTAGCATAGGACATGTAATGCTATCTAGAAAAGGATATTCATGAATGTGAAAAATACAATATTTCCGTCAGACTCTTCTATAAGCACTGTGATTATTGACTGTTTCAAAACAAATTATAGTCATCTCGTGTACAAATATATTGGATTAAAAACTCAAAGAAAAGCACACTTTTGTGGCCACTAACGAATAATTAAATACGTTTTGACAAAAAAAGGAAAAGGAAAAAATAGACTAATAATCAATCAAAGGATCTTAGGCATATGTGAATATACTATCAGTGGTATGATTTGACATGGAAAACTTGGCATCTTGGCGTGTATCCGCTCTCAGTGATAATCTTCTCAAACTTTTTAACTGCCGCTTCATTCTCCTCTAAGCTGGTCTGAACAAAGAACCTTGCCCACCACGAAGAGCTCCGCATTTTTGCCTTCATATGATGAAGCATATTGTTAGGGAAGTAACTCAATCAAAAGCTCATTTGCAGACTCTAAAAGGCACCCTCACGTGCAAGCAAGACTTGTTTTTGTCGAGCCTGCACGTAAACTTTAATTTTTCAAAGCTATGTGATGGTAAGGCTAGGTCAATAAGGCTAGGTCTAATATGATGTTAAGAACCAACTCAACTAAAAGTTCAAGCTTGTGTTGGTAGCCCAAGAAAGGTTTTATACTCTAACAATATACAGTACATTCTCTTTCTTTCATTACAATAATTAGGTGCAACAGTGTATGATATCAATGGAAATCTAATAACTAACTTGCAAGTTTAGCTCTTTAATGAGATTTTGCCTCCGTTTGGTACCCCTAATTGGATTCATAATGCAGGTATTCTGCTGATAAGTAGCTTTGGAGTTTGGATTGACTTATTTGGCAAGCTGATGTAAGCAGACACTTTTACTTTGAGAAAATGAAACAGTTTGATCCACAACCATTTTAACCAAACGACCCTATAAACTACTTGAAATTACCAAGTGACTGACCAAGTACACTATGTTTGGTTCGTTGACTTTGGTAGGGAAAAGAAACGAAAATAAAATGGAAAACCATCTTTTTGTTTGGTTGGTGAGGAAAAGAAAATTGAGAAAAAAAGTTAATTAAAAAAGGGAACAACAAATTCCTCCCCATTTTGGGCGGAAAAGCAAAGAAACCATGTCTCTAGGTAGTAGGTCCACTCAAATCTCAATCTCACTCTCGCTCAAAAAGTCTATTTATGAGATCTTTTCTTTAATTTGAAATATGTGTGTGGGATATGGAGAGGGGTGGTTTCCTTTGTTGCTTTGTTCCTTTATGGAAAAGTATTTTCCTCATCAATTTCTCTAATGACCAAACAAAATTAGGATTTTAGATTTCTTCGATTTCTTTTCCTTTCATTAATATTTTCATTTCCTAATTCTTCGAACCAAACATAGTGGTAGGCATATAGCTAGATTGTGATTGAAAACAATCAAGAAAAGTAAAATAAGGAAAAGCATTGGGAATGCCTAGTCGAATAAGAAACTCACCGGGCGCCCAAATTTGGACAGCTCTGCAATTTTTGCTTTAGATTGTCCTGGATGACCTAGTAAATTGAGAAAAGAGAAAGATCAATAGAATCCAACCTATTTAGTAGTACCTTCAGTATAGCTTTCATATGTATTCTAGCTACAAGAGACATGCAATAGACAAAGCTTCTCAAATCATCATATTTACAATACTTGTTTTCTTACTCATTATATTTACAACAGACCACAAGGCCCCCTCTGCCCCTACAATAGGGTGGTGGAACCCTATGATTTGGGCTCACTTATAAATTGGACTGATGGCATCATAAGTGTTGCATTGTTTGCCTGCTTGATTTGGGTTGACCATATAAATGTGAAGTAAACCTTATATATCTCGTAAGCATCTTTTTAGTGTGATTGTTTACCTGTGAAAATCACAAGGCCATCAGAGGATACTCTTGCCAACTCGGGAAGTGTCTTGTTAAGATATTTAGGAGAAAGGTAATCCACAGCATCTGATACAATAACAAGTGAGAATGATTTTGAACGGTAGGGTAGAGGGAACTTGATATCAGCTACCCGCACTAGGCCCTGCCTCACAAGGCTTTTGCACTTAGCATCAGCATCCTCTATATCATAGGGTTCTACACCCCATGCCTCGGTTTCCTCTTCTTTTAATAATCTAGCGACCACCGAACATGAATCCGGTCCCACATGCAAAACACGGCGCATGCTGTCACCATATGCACTCTTCAAATAAGGCGTTGCTCTTTGAACCTCTGAAGTGCATGTAAAGTCACCTGGATGCACAAGTCCACAACTTTGGGAATAGTTCTAATATAGTACTCCGTATTATAGTAAATGGTTTATGCACTCTTTCTTTCTCTCACAAAGACTTTTCGTTCCTTCATTTTTTTGTGATTCAAATCATCTTAACTTCTTAGCAATTCAAAGATTGTTACGACAAATTCTTTAGACCAATAAACTCACATAGTCATCTGTTATGGCAAGTTGCTGAATACCGAAGTAAGTTGTATACTAAAAAAGTAAAACAAAATTGACAATACAATTAGGCAAAAGAAAAATAAAAAACATTACCATCTATCTTGCTAAGTGCTTCCTTTGCGCTTCCAACTATACCTAGATTGGGAGGTAGGGGGAAAAGTACGTAGTAGGTTAAGATAAAAGTCTAAAAAGTTTTTTTAAAAAAATAATAACAAAGTGGTGTAAATGAAGAGATTTAATGGCTAGTTCCATCCAATGTTTGAGTTTTTTTTCAATATACTTCATCTCAAAATAAAGTTCATATTTTTCTTTTCCATATGTCCCAAAATAAACTTCACAACCTTTCTCTCACCTCTTAACAGATTTCAACCATGCATTTTTTACGTTTCAACACTTTTCTTAAACTCCATGAAACCGAACCATGAATTGGATTTTAGGATGAAGAAAGTGTGTTTTGTAAGTAGAATTATTACCTGTGCCGCTATAAAAATAGGTGACCACGCAGAGAACACCCTGAAAGATTAAAGCACAACTAGTATTCAGTACCTCTGCATTTGCATTGGGTACATCAAAGAAAGCCACAAACTTGAAATTTCAAAACTAAATGTTTGACGTACCAGAATGATGAGAGTTGTAGGAAAAAGAGGTGAAATACGCGATTTCGTATGAAACAGCCCCCCAAAGTTTCCACCAGCTCCAAACCGCCTCGTTGGGTATCCGGGCTTTCTAGACATGACTTCTTCAGAACTGTATCTAGCCGTAAAACAACACTAGAAACTGGACAAAAAAGGAGAAACCTTTTGAGTTATGCAGCCCCTATGCAATACTGACATTTATGAAACAAAGACATACAAGGAAAAGGTAAAGCATCTTCTATTAATGGAACAACATGTTTGTGTCCAGCTAATAACATCATCTAGAGCTCCATTAATGAGTGCAAAGAAAGCAACTTTTTCTTGATTCGGTCTGAAAATTACTGCAATTAACTTGATCTAATCACTCTGAACAGTACTACTCTCTCACCATCAGATAAGACAAAAGAACAGAGCAGTATGAATGAATGTGGATCCGCGGAAATTCAAAAAAAAAAAAGAAAAAGAAATCCGTTCTGAGATTTACACCCATGACGATATAAAGATCCCAAATTTTCACAAGATAATGAACAGAACAGAAAGCAGATTGATTGAATAAAGAATCGCAGTGGAATGGAAGGAAAAGCAGGAAGAGAGAGTTCACCTCAGATTAGGGAGGGAGAGGACCTTGGATCTGCTGCCTTCAGATTCACGTATATCTATAAAGATAAAAATATATAAAAATAAACACAAAATTTGCGGATTATAAAAATCCGGCGATGGGAGAATGAAGAAAAGGAGGAGGAGGAGGGGGGAAGAAAGCGGTGAAGAAGCTGGAACTAAAAACAATGGAGACAGACAGAGAGCAAGGCGTGGGAGGTGGGGCCGAGGTTACGCGCTTCCCCTTCGTGCTAACAATTTCTTGCTTTTGTCGGCGGTCATCTTACTGGCGTTTTTTCTTTTCACAGTTTTAGAAAAAACAAATTTATCAAAATAAATACTCCGTAAATAAATTAAACTAACCCATCTTCCTTCACTATATATCTTCTCAACGTAATACTGGGCCTGTTTGGGAATAGCGTTAGCTATTAGCGTTAGCGTTTTGAAAAAGCTATCTACGGGCAGCATTTTCAAAATAATCTGCACTGTTAAAATTTTATCCAAAACGCTAACGCTAATCTCTAACGCTATTCCCAAACAGGCCTACTATCTCCCATTTCGTTTTCTGGTTGTAATAGAGTGCGTTTGCAAATAAGTCAAGGAGTACAAAAATTAGGACCCGTTTAAAAATAGTGTTTTTGATTAGCACTAGAATTTTAGATAAAATTTTAATGGTGTAAATTAATTTTGAAAATGTTGACGCTAATTAATGCTCATAGATAACCTTTTCAAAAAGATAATCTAGTAAGGAGTAATAGGCTAATATTTTTTTCAAAGTTAATTTATATTATTAAAAGAATATTTAAAATATTATTGTTTTCAAACTATACCAAAATAAAAATTGGATTGTTCATATTTATGTGGGCAAAAAATAATAGTCCTTCCATCCCAAAATATTTATGTAATTTTGAATTTATGCAATCAAGTTAAATCAACTTTTGACTTATAATTAAATTAAATTAACATGGTATATTAGGAAAATATAACACTACTTTGAAAATACTTTACAAGAGAGTTTTATTAAAATTATGCTTGTATCATAATTCAAATTCTGACCTTAATTGGTATGATGCACTCAAATACCTCTTGAGGATAATGGGAAGAATTTGACAATGAAGATATGAACATGTAGCACTCAAATACCCAATGGCACACACTACCTAAATACAAAAAGAGTATATCCTCTTTAGTATTTATCCCCAAATAAAGTTCACACATTGTTGACTTTCCAGAAGATTACCTGGGTAGTGACAATTTGAAGTGTTTTATGCTTACATTTAGTGACTTGGTGTTGTATGTTGGACTCTCAGATATTGTCTTTAAAAAAGGAGAGAAAAAGAGAGAACTTCATTGGGGTAAATGGAGTATTATATCACACACGGAGTATTTTGGTTAGTGATGGTAAAAAAATACTACTAGACGTGATTCACATGTGTCACGGTCCCGGTAGCATCTTCAGTCGGCGGCGGCGGCGGCGGCGGCCTCCACTTCCGACCAAAGATGGTGGCTTCCGGTGCAGCCTGGGGCACCTGATTCACCCTCTCGTCGATCAACTCCAGCAACTCCTGCAACCCGACACCAGTCACCGCCGATGTTTTGACATGTGGAACAAGACCAGATTTGGCCTCTAAATCTCTGCTCTTCTTCCTAGCCCACCACCCCTTGGTGGGGGCCACCCAAGAGGCGTCCGAATCCCCGCACCCAACGGATGACCCGTCATAGTCAACCCACGAGTCTTCTTCTTCCTCCCCCTCTGAGGCTAACCAGCAGGCGTCAGCCTGGTCACCATTTTCATCATTCATCTCTCCATTGTCGACTTCATCATTTTCTTCCTCCTTTTCTTCCATTTCTTCATCAAAGTGGAACTCCTCCTCGTCAAGATCAATCTATAAAACCAATGCACAATATCATAACTTGTAGGAATTCTAGCAGGTCTTTTTCCTGACCCTTTTTAGTAATTGTACCTTGTTCCACACTTCAATCATGTTCTCAAGCTTCTCCTCGGACACACCTATCTGCTCCAGAACTTGCAACACAGTCCTCCGCTGTTCATCAAGATTCGGCGCACTTGAATCTAGCACGTGCTGCGACACATATTTTTGTTTCTTTGCTGCTTAATATTTTGAATAAGACGAAGAAAACAAGATGCTTATAGCAGTAAGGAAAAAGAGCAAAAAGTTCAGACCAAAAGAATATCCGCTTCAACGACCTCTTCCAATGTTGCATGAAATGCTTCCACTAGCTGCGCCCATGTTTCCAATCGAGAATGAATAACCGACCATATTAATGGAAGGGAGAGATCTTATTAACCAGCTACTTACCTTGACAGGCAAGTCTGATATGAATCCGACCGTATCACTTAAAAGGACCTTCCTCCTGGACCAAAAATTTTATTTTAATACCAAACCTAACAAAGCCCAGTACACACAACCGCGTGATAAACAGTATATTTATGTCTACCCTGATGGCAGAACAACACTGCTCAGTTTTGGGTCAACAGTTGCAAACAACCTGCAGAATGAGAGCCAAGAAAGATGGTGGTGACAATGCCATTTCATGTTCCAAGAAAAAAGCAATAACAAATACATGACTGGGAGAAAAACAAGTTTAGATGTTTTTTTTCACATGTGGTGCTTCGTAGTTCTTACCGGTCATCACTGTAGAGATAGTTGTCTGTAAGGGCACTTACTAGTGTAGACTTTCCCTGTGAAGGACATAACTTATCAACACAACTGTACATGATGTGGTATAGATAGATATTCACACACCATCAACTTACAGCATTTGTATAACCCACAACAGCAACGGTGGCAATGCTGTGGCCATCGGACCCACCATGCCTCTTGCGAGAAGCACGTTGCAAGGCTCGGGTACGGCGCACCTCTTTGATTTCAGATAATAATTGCATCCGACGCTCTAAAATTCTGAAATTTGAAAAGTTTTAAGCTTCAGTTGTTAATGTCAATATTAACACTCATAATGATAGAGCATAAAATGCATTATGACAGTAAACAACAAATACCTTCGCCGTTGGAGTTGCAATTCTGACTCTCCAGAACCACTAATAAACCCACGCCCTCCGCTTCCTTTCCTGCAAATTACTATTGAGCCCTTGAGCGCATTTTCAGCCTAGCTAATACGGTTACTAACTAGAACACAATCAAGAGAGCACAATAATGAAAAATAATATGAATTGAATTCAAGAATGTAATTTGAAACAACTGCTGGGTGATGACTTTTTCGTATTCAGTACTCGAAAAATCAAACAATAGACTCACCCTCTAGCACTAACAACCTCAGCTTCTCCCATCACACCAAACGTAGAGCGCCCACCCGGACCACGTGAACGTACAAGCAGGCTCTTCTTGTGCATAAGAGCTGCCAGCTCAGCCTATTAAGTATAGAAATTCAGAAATACTTCCAGAGACATAATCTAATGGCTTCCTGCATGTAATGTGATTGCTTATTACCTGTAACTTTGCTTCCTTCGTCTGTGCATGTGCATTGAATATTTCTATGATAAGACCGACACGATCAATAACAGGCTTACCCCATTCGCGCTGCAATCCGTAGGAGTAATCATGTCATTTAACAAATTGACCAATGAATTCTTCAATTAATCCAAAAAGAAAGGGCTTAAACTAGTTTAAGTACTTTTCGGGCTCAGTCCACATCAAATAGCAATTGAAACTAAATTATTCAACTTTCAGATGAGTAAATCAAATATGAAAAAATCCAGCTTACACCCAAATTTCGCTGCTGGACTCCAGAGAGCATTGCATTTACAAATACTGCATCCACTCCCCCCTGACAATAAAAGCAAAAACTAAGCAACAATATCCCAACAAGGAAATTTCCTTACTCCTTAGTGGTTCTTTAAAAGATAGAAGTGATCCTTTACTTTAATCAGTTATTAAGGCCAAAACTCTGTACCTTAGAGTCCAATGCATTTATATGGCATTTTACTGTGTTTACTGTCCCTAGCCCAAAGTAAGTATCTGTGACATTACAGAAACTCGATCAATATGTACCCCGCAAAACAAACAATGAAAGTATGATGAGAATAATTTATCTACTGCAAAGCATTCTTCTTTTTCACATGAACTATAAATTGGACCTACCGGCACGGCAGCCTCTGCCGGCTGGGTTCTGAACAACTATATGAGGAGGAGCCTCTTTCTCGGAGAACTCAGTTTCGTAGAACCCATCTCGCGGTTCTTCGAGGGAATTGGCAAGATTGAGAGCCTCTGCGAGCTTAGGCTTCAAAGCGGATTTGGGTTTTAACCGGGGCTGCACTACAAGAATATTTGATGATTTTATGGGCTCGTCGCGTCCATCATCGTCCTGCCGCCTCTGCAGCCGCGGCGGCGAACCCGAGAGCGACCGGAAGCTGGGAATTGGGTGCGGCGGGGAAAGGTGCGGTAGGGTTTTGGGGCTCCAAGGATGGGATCGTAACTGGGAAACCACTCTCAACATTTGGTGGTTCTGTGTTGCACAAGGAGTCGGAAATGGCGATTCGGCCGGCGGAAGGCGATCACGGTTGAGCGGTGGACACCCGCATACTTTAGACGGGTCGGCCCAACAAAGTGTAGGTTCAACTAATTTCATACGTAAATTAAAAATGTTTGTGTGTCGATATAGAGAATAGATAATAGTGTTGTAAAATTATCTTTGTTGCACAAAAGAAATTTCTCTTTTCATTTTAGATATTGAAAATCGTGAACAATTTATCAAGTGGTTATAGGGTGTGAAATTTATGATTATAAACATTTTAGAACCTGTTTGGTGAATTTTAGAGATATGATAAGAAATGAATTATGAAATCTGAGAGAAATGATATGGGTTTTGAAAACTGAATGATATGTGTTTGGTGAGCAATTAATTAAGAAAATAAATATAGGATACAAATGTTGGACAATGTTTTAACGCAGATATATATTATATTGGTTAGAAATGTAGAATAAGGTTTTATTTATAATTTTGTTAATGAAATTTTATTATTTTCTTGATTTTATATTTTTATGTTTTTGTGAATGCCGAGTTTTTTTATAAATTGTTACACATTTAAAAAAATCTTAGATCACATCATAAGTGAATGGATAAATTTCACGTTAGAGAAATATTCTAGAGCACATAATTATTTTAAAAAGAAAAAAATTAAAAAGAATTTAAAAATAAAAACAAAAAAAATTGTTAAAGGAAAACAAGTAAAAAATCAAAACTCATATTTGAGGCCACTAAAAAATGGGCTGCCGCTTCAGAATTGAAAGCGGCTAACATATGCCGAATTGAAGTTGCGGCACTTCTCCAGATATGGAGCATATCTCAAGATATCAATTGAATTTCTTTTTATCTTCACCAAACATATTTTTTAGGAAAAATTACCCAAAATAATCCCAACTTTACCCGGTCTTTCAAAAATAATCCCACCTTTCACTGTGATGCATAATAATCCTAACTTTACTGAAATTTGTCAGTTTTGGGTCGCCGTTAAATTTCTAACGGAGGGTTAACGGAAATGCCCGTTTTATGCAACAAAATGAAAGTTGGGATTATTTTTGATAAATTTTTGTTTTTTAATTTTTTTTGAAATTTTTATTTAAATTTTTTGAATTGCTTTCAACCTCCATTTTTTTTCTTTTTTTAAAGATTATTCTTACCTTAGAAAAAAATAGATAAAAAAAATAAAAAAATGAGAAAAATAACTAAAACCATACAAAATTAATCAAATAAATAATGTAATCAATAGAAATTAAACTGGTAAGAAATAAAATAAATATATACGGAGTGGTGGGTTTTAACATTTTACACACTATACGAAGTCTTAATGTACTACTTATTTTTTAAAAGAACAAGCCCTCCGGTAAAGTTGGATTTATTGTAGACAATTGTTTCTAAAAAATAAGAAATGATATGTTAATACTTTGTATAATGCGTAAAATATTAAAACCCACCCGTATATTTTTATTTTACTTTTACCAATTTCAAGTTAGTTTCCATTGATTACCTTATTTATTTTATTATTTTTGTATCATTTTAGTTACATTTCTCATTTTTTCATTTTTTATATCTATTATTTTTATTTTCTAAACTAAGACTAATCTTTAAAAAAGGAAAAAGAAATAATGATGGAGGTAGAAAGTAATTTAAAAAATTTAAATGAAAAATTTAAAAAAAATAAAAAAAATGAAAATTCATCAAAAATAATCCCAACTTTCATTTTGTTGCCTAAAACGGGCATTTCCGTTAACCCTCCGTTAGAAACTTAACGGCGACCCAAAACTAGCAAATTTCACTAAAGTTAGGATTATTATGCATCACAGTGAAAGGTGAGATTATTTTTGAAAGACCGAGTAAAGTTGAGATTATTTTGGGTAATTTTTCCTATTTTTATAATACTTAACCATTCAGAGGTAAATGTCTGAGTCATTCAGACATCTGAACCATTAAGAGGCTGAAACAAACAGGACTATTAAGTGCTGAACCATTCAGACATCTGAACCATTAAGAGACTGAAACAAACAGCCTTTACATCTACTTGTATGACGGACTAATTTGTTCAAAAATTATCATAAACCAATACAGTAAAATAAAATTTATACTAAAAATTGCAAAAAATTGCTGCCAAGTACCCTCTATTTTGTGGTAAGAACTGCCAGGTACCCCTAATTTTTAAAATATACTCTCAGGTACCCCAAATTATAAAAATATATACCAAGAGGTGATTTTCCATCCCTTCTCCATCTACCCCTCCTTTCTCCGTTAAGTATATCACCACCATCATCATCCATCATCATCATCATCAATCATCATCATCAACATCATTCCACTACCACCATCACAACTTCTTCGTACTTCTTCCTCTTCTTCTTTTTATTTTTTCTTCTTTTTCTTCTTCTTCTTCTATTATTATTATTATTATTATTATTATTATTATTATTATTATTATTATTATTATTATTATTATTATTATTATTATTATTATTATTATTATTATTATTATTATTATTATTATTATTATTATTATTATTATTATTACCATTATAATTGTTATTGTTATTATTATTATTTAGTTGTTGGGCAAGGTTTCCATGACATTGCCCGGTAATGTCATGGGATGACCTGGGGGCACTCCGGTGTCCCGTTCATAAAATTGACAGTTCCTACCCCGTCTAACCCCCGGTAAACCCTGCACCCTGCCCTAACCCGAACACCCCCCCCTTTAATTGCACCCCTTAAATTGATTTTGACTTTGAAGTCAAATTTTGATGTCAAAGTCAAAATCAATTTGTGGGGTGCAATTGAAGGGAGTGGAGGGTGTTCGGGTCGGGGCGGGGTGGGAGAGTTTATCGAAGGGGATTAGGGGGGTAGGAACCGTCAATTTTACGAACAGGACATCGGGGTAGTAATTTTTTGGTTTTCTACTACTCCGGATATTTTTAACAAAAAAACACTAAAGCTCCCAGCAAAAAAATTGTATACTCCATTAATGTAAAAAAACAAAAAATTACTGTTTGGAACCCTAATTTTGTACTTGAACTATCGGGCATTTTTATAGTGAAACAATTAATTAATTTTTAATAATAATTATAATGAATAATAATAATAGAAGAAGAATAAAATATTACTTCATAATAATAATAATAATAATAATAATAAATAGTAGAGGTAGAAGAAAACTATACTTCGTAATAAATAATAATTAGTTTTAGTATTAAAAATTATTAATATTAGTTTTTAATATTAACAATAATAATTTAGAAGAAGAAAATAATTCTTTGTAATAAATAATAATACGCAGTAATAATATAATAAAAATGATGGTTTTTTTGTTAAAAAAAAGAATGAGGGTACAATTTTTTGGTGGGAGCTTTAGTGTTTTTTTGTTAAAAATATAGTAGTAAAACAACCAAATAATAAAAATAATACTCCCTCCATCCTAAAACTTTCTTCCCGGTTCGCAAAACGAAGAAAAATCCTAAGTTTTTTCAATCTATTTTATTTAAATATTGGTATAGAACTAAAAATAAAACATAATAATAATAATAATAATAATAATAATAATAATAATAATAATAATAATAATAATAATAATAATAATAATAATAATAATAATAATAAAAGGAGAAGAAGAAGAAATAAGGGTGAGTGATGGGGGCGGGGTGTAGAAGATTGAAAGTTGAAAGGGGGGAGGAGGAGAGAAGAAGAAGAAGAAGAAGAAAGAAGAAGAAGAAGAAATAAAAAAAAAAGAAGAGGAGGAAGTAAGAAGATGGGATCATAGTTTTAAAAACCGGACCGGATCGGCCGGTTCGGACCGGAAATCGGTGAACCGGTCGCCGGAGCGGTCCGGTTGAAGGGGTTAGACCGTATCCTGCATCGAACCGGTAGGAACCGGTGGTGGAACCAGAAACCGCCCATATTTTCGCCGATCAGTAGGCGTCGGTTGGTGGCGGTAGATGCACTTCGACGATGAATGCTAACATCGACGATGACTCCGGATGAATGCATGAGGCGGCCGCCATGGCGAAGAGGGTGAAGTTGACTGGCGGTAGAGAGCTTACCATGGCAGATGCGTGCCGCTGCAACTTTGTTGGCGGCTGTGGAAGCTTCATTGAGAGTAGGGTTTAGTCGTTTAGATTTCTTGGGAACTAAAGCCACTTGCGATGTATATTTTCTATTAGGACTAATGATACTCCGTATGTATGGGCTTTTGCTTGGGCCTCAATATTACTTGGATTGTCGTTTTATCCTCATATGATCCACTATTACACACACATATTTTATATTTATTTATATATATATATATATATATATATATATATATATATATATATATATATATATATATATATATATATATATATAATTTATTTATTTATATATATATAATTTTAAAAATGTTTAAACCACCGGTTCGACCAATTGAACCACTGGTTCGACCAGTGAACCAGTCCCTTGATCGGTTCGGTCACCGGTCTGGTTCTGAAAACTATGGATGGGATGGTGTAGTGGAATGATGATGATGATGATGGATGATGATGGTTATATTTAACGGAGAAAGGAATGATAGATGGAGAATAGATGGAAAATCACCTCTTGGTATATTTTTTTATAATTTGGGGTACCTGAGAATATATTTTAAAAATTACGGATACCTGGCAATTCTTACCACAAAATAGGGGTACCTGGCAGCAGTTTTTTGCTAAAAATTGTATGAAATCAAACTGGGGACAAATGAAACTGCAGCCTTTCAATTCCAACCAGCCAACCCCAAAATTGAGAGCAATTGTGATGCCATAAAACAAAACCCCAAAAAATAAAAATGCTACATTCACACTATTCATCTCATCTTCATCAAGAAATTGTAATGATAAGCGCAAGAAGAATTGATCGAAGCATCAAATATTAAAAATAAAAAATAATTAGAAGAAAAAGTGCTTGCTTCAATTTGTTAATTAATACTCCGGCATGGGGTGACTGATTTTATTGCCTTCCCTGTTCTGCTCCGTCACTCTCAGCCACACGCACACGGCGGTGAAGCTCAGCACCAAGCTCACAACGCCGCTCCCCAATCCGATCCCGACGATGGCTAACACGGACAGACCGCCGCTGCTCTTGGGGGGCAAAGGGTACCCGAAGAGACCCTTGTTCCCCTCGAACGAGCTGGCATTGAATCGGGCCAGAGACGCCGGAATTGGGCCGGAGATCCGGTTGTCGGAGACGTCGAACGCCGACAGCCTCGCCAGGAGGCCGAATTCGGGCGGGAGGGGCCCGGAGAGGCGGTTGCGGTGGAGATCGATGACGTTGAGGTAAGCGGAGAGGGCGAGCTGCGGCGGGATGGAGGCGGAGAGGAGGTTGTCGGAGAGGTTGAGGACGGCGAGGTTGACGAGGAATCGGAGCTCCGGCGGGATTGGGCCGGAGAGGGAGTTGGAGGAGAGGTCGAGGGCTTGGAGATTGGTGCAATTGGAGAGGTAAGGGGAGATGGAGCCGGCGAGGGAGAGATGGGAGAGGGAGAGCTTGTAGACGCGGCCGTTGTTGCAGGTGGCGCCTTGGAGGTACGAGGTGAAGCCGTCGCAGGGGTCGGAGAAGGTGGCTTCCGTCCAGTTCCGGAGCGTGTGGAGCGGGTCCTCCAGGGCGGCGCTGAATCGGGTCAAACACAGGAAATCGCTCGAATCCGGAGCGCAGGGCGGAGGGAGCGCGGCGGCGCACGTCAGCAACAGCACCACCGTCCGCCTCCACGCACACCTCATCGTTTAATCGATGGATGGGAAACGGGAAGAGGGAGAGACAAAACAAAAAGGACAGTGCAGCGCCGTAGGAGCGTGGTATTGAATGGGGTGGGAATCTTTGTAGTGTTCTCCGGACACAACGTTTGCACAAACACTGTCCGAGCGCTATAAGCCTATAATGTTGTTTTTTTTTTCGTTAAACTTAACGTTGTAATGATAAAAGTAAAGTTTTAAATTTTTTTAATTTATTTTATTTTATTTAATTTATATACAACTAGACTCGTACCCGTGCGATGCACGGGCTATTAATTGACATATAATTACTCAATATTTTTTTTGAAGTAAAACTCAGTATTTTTAATAAAGAAAAAGGTTATATAAATTGAAAAGGTAGAAAAAAGAAGGATTGTTTTAGAAGTGTTATAAGTTTTGAAACACTTCTTCATAAACTACATTCGTAATTTGGTTACATGAATGAAGGTCTTTATTGCAAATCAAAATCTTTAACACTTTTCGTGTGTTGCACGGTATGAATATTTAACTATTATTTTAAAGAAACAATGAATAAATTTCACTCCATATGATATAAATGAATTAGATTCAAATAAAGTGGACGGGTGAGAAATAAAAAAAAGAATTTATATGATAGATAAAAACTTAATAAACATTTGAGTTAACACCAATAAAAATAGAGGCCAGTTACCATGACATCGGAAATTAATGTCATGGGATAACTCGAGGATGCTCTTGTGCACCGTTCATAAAATTGACGGTTCCTACCTCACTAATCTCCAAGTACCAAAAATCTTATAAGCATTATTTAAATATAAATAACTTAAAATAAAAAGAAGAAAATGGTGTTATCTCGCCGTCTGTAGTTTTTTGATTGCATGAATTAAATCGTCTATGGACAAAGTTATCGTTTTGATCCTATCCCGATACTCTATTCTCAGGATACTAATCTCTTTTGTTATTAGCCGTCCGACTTCACCATTGTCAACTTTGAGAATAGATCAAACTCATCTCTCTCTCGCCTAAAAAGAATCCAACACACGGAGTATTAATTTTTTTTTAGCCATTTCCAAAGTACAGAAACTTCAACAAACATATATAGATGATCTTAGACCTTGAAAACACATAAAATCTCACCTCAAGGAAATTAAATTTTCAATTAGTAACAATTATTCTACCACTAATCCAAATATGCTTAAAAAATCTAAGTTTCTTTTGAAGATCGTAAAAAAATTTACAAAAAAAAAAGAAAGATGGAAACATGCATATAATGCAAATTTTAAATTGAGAAAGAGGAAGGGAATTTTAAATTGAAAATTAAGTAGCTAAACACTGAGTCTGTGAACTTCAAATTATTATCACAATAGAAGCAAACAATAAATTTATGACTATTGTATTCCCCCAATTGACAATCATTACATGGTTAAAGATATTATCCCATAGTGCACATAAGATAGAGAATATTTTTTAATAAGTGTCTTAGTAAAACTGAAATCAACTCATTTCAACAGGAGGGAAAGCTATCAAAAGAGATAGTAATTAAAAAGACCCAAGCCTCTTCCTATTTTTCTTGGATTGCACCAGAAAGTTTTTGTGAATTTTTTCAAGGAAAGGGGAGGCGGTGAGTTCAGGCATTGACATTCAAACCTTCCTAAAGAAGTTAATAGAGATATATAGGTATAGCTTTTGATACAAAGGTAAAAGAATATGAGCGAGTTTTCACTCTATTAAGAATGAAAAATTAATACAACCAAAAAAATTATATGGTAAACTCTACCTCAACATGAATATCACATAGTCCTTCCATATGCCTCAACACACAAACTGATGAATCAAGTGAAGTATTCATCTCAATTTCATCCCTACAATCTCATAAAAAGTCAAAATAATCTTGAGTGTTGAATTCAGCTTTGCCTCTACAATCTCATTAAAGACACGAAAATGAAACACAAAATGTAATAACTCAATGTAGCCACATACCCTCTTGATAAACCATCATATGCGCATTTTAAAATTCATAGTGCATAATTTCTAAACAAACCTATAAATAAAAAAAGCTAATACAAAAGAGAAGAGAACATTACTTAATATTCGGTCAAGATGCATCAACATTCAGCAAATTCATTTTGAGGTTTCAGATAAAATTAAAAATATAAAATAAATATGAACAAAGAAAGATATATGACCGTAGATTACTGCCTATGTCCAACTCTATCAACCTCTGCCTAGGAACGGAGTCCATAAACTCAGTCTGAATCCATTTTTTGGAGCCAAATTAAATTGAATTTGAAATTAAAGTTGTGTAAGAACCTGACCTTCTTCGCCCCAGTGAAATCCAATTGTTGTCGTCCTGGCTACTTTTGAAACCCTTGGCTGGCAAAGGTTTTCGTCGCCCAGTTTGCAGAGAGAGGACCAAAGACTGGAAAACAAATTAAACCTTTAAAAATTAATTTATACACAGAAATTAATCTGTATAATGTAATAAAAAGAGATACTGAAGAAGCTTCTTTGGCAATGATGAGGTAATATTTATTGTGTAAAAATTTACATTGTGCACCAAGGTTTGATTGTATTAGGTATTTCCAAACTACACTTTAAAACTTCAACAAAACATATCTTGATGATCTTAAACATTGAAAGCACATAAAACCTCACATCAAGGCCATAAAAGTTTCAATTAATAATAATAATTATTAACTACTGATCCAATTATGTTTGCAAACCAAATCTTAGTTTCTTTAGAATATCGTAAAAAAAATCAAAACAGGCATACAGAATCAGAATTAAAGGATTACGTATTGAATGCTCGAGTTTTAAACTGAGAAAGACAAAGGGAAGGATTACATACCCAAAAATAGTCCTTTGGACTTGAATAAGCTCTCTGCCGCCCTATAAAAGAATAGCCAAATCATCCTACAAAAGTTTCCAAATCATTCACAACCAAATCCAAACATAAAACTAAATCATGGATAATTTGAAAAGAAATTGCAACAATTTTCTCAAAAAATAACAAAATACCTAGAACTAATTTTAGACCAGCAACTGATGCAACTCTTCCTTCCAAATAGCATTTTCAACCAATTTCGCTTCTAATATCGTCTGTGTGATGGATTAAATGAGAAAAGTGAAGATTACTCTGGCCTAAGCTGCTACCATTGAAACACTCAGTACTATAACCTTAATGGAAATTAAATTACTAATTAAATTTAATTGCCTTAACAAAAAATAGAGCATCTAATTTGACATGGCGTCAAATGGAGATGAAGAAAATGTGATATTGGAAGATAGATTCTCTTACCCGTCTTGTCTATATACCATACACCCATGCTTTAGCCGGATCTTTTTCATGCTTTTAGGAGATTGAGATGAAATCTGGCTTCTACCGTTAGAGTATTTGGCCGGAGCTGCACAATATCAGAGATCTAAAATACTGGATGAAACGCTTGAAGCTGCAGAATATAAAAGATTATGTAATCCATTGAAACGCACCTGGTTGAGCTCGTTGACTTCTCATTGATCGCAGACCAATCGATGCACTGTAATTTCCGGTCAAAGCCCCTCCGTGCCGCCAGAATCCAGCGAGGCTAGGGTTGAAGGTTAGCCGGCGTTATTGTCTCCCACCTTGTTCGTCCGAAGTCCCTGTTGATAAAATCGAAGAGAAAAGCGTAGCCCCTGATAAGAAAAGCGTATAGAGCACAGGAGATTAGCTTACAAAAGAAGCTGGCAGGAACACTGTTTCCAATTGGTCAATTTATTGTTCCAATTTGCCTCGTATCTTTGTATAGATAGAGATAGAGATAGAGATACAGATTAGTGTCATCACCCGGGACCTTTGAACACTGCTTCCTCCATACCCATCCAAGCCACCACTATCCTCCTCAGGGCATCACTCGTTTTGTGAATTTGGCTGCAATCATTATACCATGAAAAATGATTTGTGGCCATTGAGTAAAAACAGCATATATAGCTAAACCTAAATGTTGTAATATCCCTATAATTGAAGTATAAATACCAAAAATACCCCGAACAAACTTCTGCCTTAAGATGCCATTGCTGATTTCCTGGACCATACATCTCTGTTACTCTGTGAGGCAATTCTTCGAACACATATTGAGCATAGCTTGAGAAGTCTAGAAGCCAAACCCGATCTAATTTTTATCTACAAAATCACACATATATGTAACTAAATCTGCAGAATGATGAGTAGAAATCATGTTTCATTCAAGATCACAGATGGAAGCAATTGAATGCATGAAATCTTTGGCTGCTAAAAGGGCTTCCTCATCAAGTAAAACCTTCCCAATGTCTGGCAATCTCAAATCACAATAGCTTCTCATTCTAATCCTAAAATCATTTTAAAAGCTTTTCGGTGCTAGCAATTGAATAGAGCTCCTAACCTAAAGTTAGACCAAAACACAACTAAGAGTAATTTAGCTCGTCTGTGTTCTAAGTTTACCTTCCCAGGTGCTTGATTATTATGTTTCAAGATCAAATTCTTCGGTTTTAAATTTTAAAATAAACCTTATTTTGTCTAGTTCAAAATAGGAGTTGCTTAAAATAAACAAAAAAGAGATTTAGATTAAGCTTACGGTTGACTCAAGCGAATGACAAACAAAGAGAGCACCAACAAAGATGAAATTCCACGGAAATTGAATCCAAAAAGGCATCAAGAACAAAACCCTAGATTAAACGTTTTACCTTTTTGGATGTTGTAGTCGGAAAGGGTCCGGCCGTCTTCAAGCTGCTTCCAGGCGAAGATCCGCTGATCCGGCGGAATTTTAGTAACAAAATGCTACGATCGAGATATGTACTTCTTTATAAATAAGGTTGAAATTTTCTTTCTTCAAAAGAAACTGTATGCGGGAAGCTTCACCGTGTCATCCGTAGAAAGAGTATGCAGGAAGCTAATGGGCGAAATGTGCGGTCCAAAGTGATGCGACTACTGTACCTTAACAAATGGGCGGGAACACTGTTCATATTATCATCTTACCATTGTATATAGTAAGATAAAAAATAATAATATGTGGGTAATATAATTTCTCCTTTGGCATGAGTAATAGGAAACTCACTTCTCATTATTCTTGGAAAAGTTTGCCCATATTTGAGTCCCAACGAATGTAGATGCATTTATTCTTTGTGTGTCATTAGGTAAGACAGTATGAGGATGGGAAAATCTCAATATGCACCCTAAAAAAGTTAACAAAAAGTAATATGCACCCTCACTTTTCTCAAATTTCATAACATACCATCAGAAATTATAATAGCTTCCATTTAACCTTCCATCATCCCAATTCATCCATTGACGTTAACTGCTGTAGTAATTTTAGTGCCTTTTTAGCCCCTTCTAACATATAAATACGGAATGGAGTAAAGCTATTATAATTTCTGAGGGTGTGTCAAAAATCAACACCTTTTGGCTTCCACTCCGGTCGCATATGACGGCAAACCTCTGCAAATACCCATAAACTCCGGCATCCATAAGCTGCTTCTGGAAATCCTTACTGCCTCCAGCCACGACCGATGACACCAATGCACTGAGCGGACTGCATCAACTTTACAAGCAAGCCCATTTCAAATTCGCTCTTGTTCGTTTTACCAATGGGTAATAATCGCCGGAAGAAGCAAGGGTTACGATGCAAATTGCAGCCTTTTCTCGGGCAGAGGAATGACCGGAGAGGATCGAGGAGATGGAGCAGAACGAGAATAGCTCCTGAGGTTAATATTCTTGCAGTTAACGGCAATGGACGGTAGGGGATGGTGGAAGCCATCATAACTTTTGAGGGTGCACTATGAAATTTAGAAAAAGTGACGGTGCAAATTACTTTTTTACTACTTTTTGAGGGTGTATATTGAGATTTACCCGTATGAGGATACTAACAGCAATGTGAGGGCACTGGAAATACCCATGAAGCTCTGGGGCTACAAATCGGGACTTCAAAATTTCTCTCTCTGCCTCGTCAACTTTAATTTACCTCACAGATTCAGTGGAAATAGGTTTGAAGCCCCGGGGCTTCAAACAGGGGCTTCAAACCTTCATTTTTTACATTTTTAAAAATACATCTTCTAAATTTAAAATAATAAATTTTAAATATTTTATTATTCAAAATAATTGAAAGGAGAATAGTGCATAAAAAAATTACATTCATTAAAAAAAATATTACATTCATAAAAAAAGTTACATTCATTTAAAAAATGTTACATCCATAAAAAACAACACTACAAACAAATTACTAATTATTCGAGCGACTGAAGAAATATTCGATCAAATCCGCCGTTAGTGCATTGTGAATCTCTCGGCTTCAAATTTCTTGGCAGTTTCTTCGTTTCTTTTCTTCGTCGATTTCTTCGTACATAAGCACCTTCTCGTTCGGGTTGTATTGACAAATCGCAAACATGTTGTCCTCTACGACCATATTATAAAGAATAATGCATGCGTACATGAAATTCCTCATTTTTGTTTGAGAAAAACATTTCAACAAACGAACTATAATGTGTCACTTAGCCTTCAAGACCCCGAAGGCTCATTCAATATCTTTTCTCGCCGCCTGCTGAGCTTTTTTGTAGGTCTGGCGTTTAAGACTCATTGGTTCGGAGAGGAACTTGACAATCGTGGAATAATCTGGATATATTCCATCGGCCAAATAATATCCACGCTTGTAAAGCGTCCCTCTAATCTCAAAAGACGAGTCGGGTGCGGTCTCATTAATCCAATTGTCAAAAACAGGCGATTGATCGAGAACATTGATGTCGTTGTTCGAGCCCGCAACACCAAAAAAAGCGTGCCAAAACCACAGGTCATTTAAAGCAACAACTTCGAGCATGATAGTAGTCTTGGGATGATCCCCCCGGGAGAATTGAATATGCCACGCAGTGGGACAATTTTTCCATTCCCAAAGCGTGCAATCAATGCTCCCAAGCTTGTTGACAAAACCGTCTTTAGCGGCATGCCTTGCCTTTAACTGCGGAATGTCGCTCGCTGTAGGCTTGCGTAAATATCTTTTATGATAAATTTGAATAATAGCTTTAGAAAATTTATAAACAGAGGACCTGATGCTCTGAGATGACATCTTCAAGTATTCGTCGAACATATCAGATGTCGTCCCGTACGCCATCTGGCGAAGCGCGGCAGTGCACTTCTGGACACTACTAATCCCGCGTCGGCCTCTCGTGTCAAAGCGTTGGGTGAACCAAGGCACCTCGCACTCAACATCGGCGAGTATGCGTAAAAAGAGAGGACGACTCATCCGAAAACGATTACTAAAATCCCCCAGTGTATAAACACACGGAGTATTAAAGTAGTCATTGAGAAGTAAAGTGTGGGCAGCCGCTCGAACTCGGTTTACACGTTGTCGTCGGGTCCGGGTCCGGTGTCGGGAGAATTCGGTTTCTTCTTTTTCACCTTGTTGCCACCATTGATAACAACTCGTGGCGAAATAACGAAAAATGAGAGATCTTTTTTCATAATCGGATGAAGATGATCCCATTTTTAAAATATGTTTTATAAATATTTATAATAAATAATCAAATATATGAAAGATTGATAGAATTGTAGAGAGAAGATAGTGAGAGATGTGTGAGAGATAGGTTTATTTTAGGGGAATTTATAGGTTTTTTTAATTTAGATTTTTTTTGGTTTAACGGCTAAAGTAGCCGTTTTTGGCCGTTGGGGGAGGGGAGCATCGCGTTAAACATTTGACGCTGAGGGAGTCACACCTGTTTGAAGCCCTAGGGGGGGCGGTGTTTAACGCCTCCGGGCGTTAAAATCAGGGTTGACGCAGGTGGGTGTCACACCCATTTCCTCTACTCTAAGAACAACCTGGTCTCAGAGGTCGAATTTGGAACAAGAGAGTGAGAGACCAATGATCGAGCCTCACTAGCGACAGCGTGAGAGCAACCTCTCAAAAAATGAGGGGAACTCTTTGAGCGCAATGAAAACTAGTTTCAGACTGCGTTGCGGGTTGAGTCACCATGATTAACATCCTCTTACAATCCCGTTGGGCAAGGTGTGAGCTATTCACCTATTTCACCTTTTGGAACAAATATTAAAGATATTACAGTGTAATATAATCAATGCCATTAAAAAAATTACATGTTTAAAAAATAAATTAAAATTCTATAAACAAAAAGTGACAAGAATATTTTATTCTTATCTAGTTAGAGTTTTGAAATGAGGTGCTTTTATCAAAGATCCCTCTTGATTTTGACATTTTGTTCCTGACTCAGTTATAATGCAATCTCATTTTTAAAAAAAAACTGAAATAATTTAGAAAAGAAATTGAAAATTTTGCAAAAAATCGGAAGTTACTCCGTACAAATTTCATCCCATGACGAACCTCACGGACCATTCAAACGTGCTTGGTTTAAATCGTTGGAATTTTGTAAAATTGGGCTGAATCTAATTTTGTAGACCCAATTTCCCTGTCCACTAATTAAGGCCCAATAGAAATTTTCAACCCATACTAGCAAGACATCTTGTATCGTGTATACGAATCCGCTCCCGATCTGTTTCTAGGGGTGAGTTCGGTTTTTGCGGTTCGGTTTTTACCTAAAACCAAAGACAAAACGGAAGGTAAATTGGCGGTTCGGTTCGGTTCGGTTTTGCATAAAAAATATGTAAACCGTTGGTTATTCGGTTCGGTTTTATACGGTTTTTATTTCGGTTTTTTTCGGTTTTTTCGGTTTATAAAAGTAGAAATTTATAAGCATTAAAAAATTGTAAAAACACTAACTTGATGGAGCAATAACAATATGTTGTGTTAGGTTTGGTTTTTTGGTTTGAGTTTTACACAAAAACAAAAATCAAACGGAAGGTTATTGTATCATTCGGTTCAATTTTACATAAAAAAAATATGTGTTGAGTACCCAACAAACATTTAGGAGATTCCAAATACTTCCAAAGACATCGTATGTAAAATTAATTGCGAAGAATTTGTGTTTTTTGGTATAATACTTTCATTTTCATTATAACATCAAAGTATTTTTTTTATATAAATATGTAAATTACTCGTATCAATATTTAATGTTAATATAATTCTATATTTGGATTAGCTATTGGTATTTATATTCTTAGATTTTTTAAAAGTTTATAATATTATGGCTAAAATGTTTAATTAATAGTTAAGAAAATAATTTTAATCGACTAAAAATTTATTTGCATTTATATTTCTATGATTTTCTACATATCACATATATTTATATAAAAAAAGTGAAGTATCTAAGAAAGTTCGGTTTATTCGGTTCGGTTCGGTTTTTCAAAGTGAAAACCAAAACGGAACCAAACACTAATGGTTCGGTTCGGTTTTTTTACATTCGGTTTTGGTTTTTTCGGTTCGGTTTTTTTTCTAGCTCGTTTCGATCGGTTTCGGTTCGGTTTGCGGTTTTCGGTTTTCCCAACCCAGCCCTATCTGTTTCTTCTTCATTTAAATTTTTCGTTTTTCCAATTTATCATCTTTCATCAATTTCTCACGTTTCTCTTGCTTCGTATGCAATCACATTCTTCTTCGTTAATGTTTTCGTTTTTACAATGTCCAATAGATAATGACAAGTGGTTATACATTGAGAAATAAAAACATGTGATACTATATTGAAAAAGTTACTATGTTTTAAGTACTATTTAGGTAAATTTTCCAAGTTAAACCCCAACAACCTAAGTGTTTAAGGCCTTTTCTTAAAAATCTTGTTTCATCTACTCCTTCCATCCCAAAAAAGTGTTCCATTTGGATTTGGTATAAATTTAAAAAAAAATGAAATTGTATGGTTGAAAGTGTTACAGAGGAAATTGAGAAAGAAGTTGAACCACACAAAAATTGCTAAAACTAGAAAGATACTCCCTCCGTCCTAAATCGACCTTCCCGGTTTGACCTGAGCCCATTTTTAAGAGAGTGTAAATTATGCTTTGACTTTCCTAAAATGCCCCCCAATCATCCTTGTCTAGAGAAAACAATGAAGATAAGATTTCATCTAAATACAAATCCCCAGTTGTGAGTTAACCCTGAAAATAATACAATCACATCCAACAACTAAATCTAGAAGATGAAAAAGGTAAAACTAAATAATTTATGTTTTAGATTTGGGTTAAAGTCCAACATGACCAGGGACCACCATCAAGAAAATGGAGAGGAAAAACTCTTTCGTATGGCAACCCAGAGGAGGAGCCTAATTTCCGTTCTACGACCACCATTGTTGGAGCTTGGATATTTGACATTGGTTCTGCGCGTGCATTTTACGGAAGCCCCGTTTCAAGATCTGACACTGAATCTACCAGATCTACTCTCGATCCCCCACTCCCACCGCGTCAGAGGAAGAAGAAACTATTTCATTTCAAAAAAATGAAGAGGAAGATGAAATGAAAAGACAGAAGAGAGAAATTAAGAGAGAATGTAAAGAAGAAAGTAGATTGAGAGGAGGGACGGTAATTGTTTTCCAGGGAGAAGAAAGAGAGACGAGAGAAGTAGATCTCATGATTCGATCTATGACTTCGAAAGACATGGAAGATAGAGGGGAGAAAAAGTAGAGAAAAAGAAAGTGAATGGTTGGGGAGTAAATGGTGAAAAGGGTATAATGGTCTCTTTGTATCTTTTATTGAATGTGGGAAGGTAGTTTTAGGACGGGAAAAAAAGGGAAGTGGGAAGATAATTTTAGGACGGATGGAGTAAATCTTTTTTGGAGAACTCTCTAGATATGAGTAAAAAACTACTCCCTCTGTTCCACAAAGCACTTCCGTTTTAATTTTTTGCGCAGCCCATAAAATACTTCTATCCCACCTAAAATGTCTAAAATACCCCTAAAACAACTTCTACCCGCAATAAACTACATAGTGGGATATATTTTAGATATTTTAGGTGGGAGTAAAAACGATTATTGAGGTGCGCAAAAATTTAGGGCGGAAGAGTTTTAAGGAACGGAGGGAGTATAAAATTACGAAAATATGAGTCATAAGTTTTTAAAACTCAAAATAGAAACATACACTCTCATTGTTACACTTTCACAATCACCACATTGTCACATTGTAATTGTCACAATATCACCACAACATTGTCATTTGTCGCCGCCGGCGACCAGTGTGCTGCCGTGAATCTTGGACGGTTAACTGATCACACTAACATATTTTACTATCATCACTTTCTTATCACATTGTCAACGCATACTTTTACACCATACTATCAATTTACCCATATTTTGGTCTTAAAATTTTCTCGCATAATACATTATATGTACAATTATTTCCATAAATAATGCATTAGGAGACGCAACTTGTCCATAAAATTTTCCCGATCATTGTTTTGGTTAACTACTCCACTCCTTTTAAATAAAGTTTTGATTGTGCTGCTAAAAATATTTTAAAATTGTCCACAAACATCATTATTTTTATTCAAATATCAACAACTTACTAATATAAAAAAATTTCTCTCTAACAAATAATGGAAAATGTTAATTTAAATAAAATTCTTTTTACCAAACAATCTCAAAAAGTGGGGAAAATAATATTTTGCAAAAATCATTCTTCCATATAAATTAGTTTACTAAGAAAATATCCCCCCCCAAAATGCATCCTTAGCTCGACTTCAAATTTTTTCCAACTTCTTATGTTTCTTTCAAATTCTTCTGTTCTTTCAATTGCTTCTAATATCTTTCAATAACTTCAAACTCTTTCAAGTTTGTTACGGAATATAACTCTATCAGATTCTTTTCCAACATTTATTTAAAAATTATTTATGTGCATTTTTTTATATTATTCTTATTTCATTAATATTATTATTATAAAAAAATGTACAAAATGAGCACCATTTAACTTGTAAATGTATATATAAAGAATACACAATGGCACCCAAGATTGAGTGGTAGAGAAAGCAGTCTCCAAGATTCACAAAGATATTTATCTACGTTCAAGCCCTACATTGTAATCAAATTAATCACAAAAAATAAATATATAAAACATTTTTTATCTAAATTTATAATATAAGACTTCTCAAACATGCACAAAGATGACTCCGTTTTATTCGCTTTTACATTTTTATACTTTTGATTGAGTTATTTTTCTTTTTAATAATGTTATTATTTAATTATTTTTATCGTCTTACTTAAATTATTCTTTTGTGTAATCAAAAGGGGATGTAGCTCAAATGGTAGAGCGCTCGCTTAGCATGCGAGAGGTACGGGGATCGATACCCTGCATCTCCATAAAAGTATTTAAAAGTATAATTTAAAATTATTTTTGTTTGATTAAATTAAATTCGGTGGGGTTCTAGTGACACCGGAGTACGGTCACACTCCGGTGCCACTGCCATTTAGGGGTACTTCCGGCGCTTCATTCGTAAAATTAATGGTTCCTACCCCCCAAAACCCCCATCCTACCCCCGCCCCAACCCTGCCGTAAGCCCCCCATACAAAATGTGTGGCTATTATACACATTTTGTGGGGGGGCTTACGACGGGGTGGGGGTGCAGGGGCGGGGTAGGGTGGGGGGTTTAGGGGT